ACACTCTCAGTGCTCAAGTCACCCAGAGGAGGACTCAAGAGAAGAGGAAATAGAATATCAGAGGATTAGGGAGCAGACTGGTTCCCTCCAAGGAAAGCACCAGAGCTCAGGGCCCAACAAACCCGTCAGAATCACAATTACTATCCACGTCCACCAGAGGCACCAGTAGCCTGATTGGTTCAACAGAGACTATACTGAGTGTATAGATATTCATTCCCGAGATCCTCCTGCAGCCACCAGGCTTGGAATGTCTCCTTTGAGTCCGAGTCTGTTGTGGGTAATTACAGCTCTAAACTCCAGCTCCAGGGGACAGAATCTGCTAGAAGCAGAGTGTTGAAATTTCCATACAAATGGGGATAAACATCAGGTTAGGTTCTAGTACATATTCTATGAAGGGAAGCTAAAATACAATGGGTGAAAAAAAAAAAAAAAAAAAGCAGCTAGACTTGGACAATCGAGCATCCAACTATGGACCTCAGAGAGCAGCTGATTGGATAACAGTGGTAGGTGATTGTCCAGGGAGTGAGTTCAATCCTTCACTCTCATTCTATGAAGCATAAAGCAGTCCCAACAACAGGCAGTATCTTTCTTTTTTTTTTTATTTCTCAATTTTTTTAAAAATTTTTTTTTCTTAGTTTACATATCGATCCCAGTTCCCTCTCTCTCCCTCCCATGGCTCCTCCCCTCCACCCCTCCAGCCCCCCAACTCCACAGGAAGGGTGATGCCTTCCAGGAGGGATCAACAAAATCTGTCAAGTCATTTGGAGTAGGGACTAGGCCCTCCCTAAGAGGCAGTTTCTTTAGTTTCAGAACAGAGTTGGACTTGGTTTCCAAGTCCTGTGACAGCTGGGAATGGTGGGTATGGCTATAATCCCAGCATGTGGGATGCTAAAGTGGGAAGGTCTTGAGGCAGAGGAGAACCTCCCTCATTAAAAAACAAACTCACAAACACATTTTAAAAAAATTATGTATTTCTTGCAGTGATGTGACTTGAACTTAGGGCTTCATACATGCCAAGCAAACACTCAACCATTGAACTACATTCACAGCCCTCTTTATTTGTTTGCTGTTGTATTTTTGTTTGTTTTGAAACAGGGTTTCTCTGTGTTGCTTTAGAGCCTGTCCAGGAACTAAACTAGCTCCTGAGTGCTGGGATTAAAGGCGTGTACCACCAACGCTTGGCTGCTGTTGTGCTTTTTTTTTTTTAAACTTTATTTATTTTGCAAAGTAGCAAAGAAATATTATTCAAAAGCAAAGTGATAATACAGATAAAAATACACTGCAAGTGAGGAGCAGGCCACACGAGTAAGAAAATACTCAAGAAAATAAATTTAATATTCCTTTGAAGTTGTTTATTTAGCTAGGCAGAGGCAGGTGGATCTCTGTGAGTTCGAGGCCAGCCTGGTCTACAAAATGAATTTCAGGACAGCTGAGACTGTGTTACACAGAGAAACCCTGTGTCAAAAATCACCAAGTAAATAAATAAATAAAATTTATAAATTAATAATAATAATAAATCATAATAATAAGTGATTTACTTATTTTATTTTTTGAGACAAGGTCTCACTGTAGATTCCTAGTCAGCCTGGAACTTGCTGTGTGGACCAAGCTGGCCACCAACTCCCAGTATATCTCCCAGTTACTAGGGTTAAAGTCATATACCACCTCATCTAGTTGTCTCTTGATTTTTGTAGCTCTGGCTGTCCAGGAACTCACTGTGCAGACCCAGCTAGCCTCCAACTCAGAGAGACTTGCTTGCCTCTGTCTCTTGAGTGCTGGGACTAAATATGCACACCACTATGCCCAGCTTTTTTTGATTTTTGAGATAAAGTTTCATTCAAATTCACTGTGTAGTAGATGAGAAAGCTTTTATTTATTATTTAAATGCATTTTAGAAGAAATGTAATTTGTCAAACCTGTGGTTTCACAGGTGATGTTCATGGCTTCCTACTCACAACAGTGACATAAAAATTCCATTTTACACACTTAAGGGGAATGAGTTTATTCAAGGATAAATATTAAGTAATAACATAAGAGAAATGAAGACAGAATATTAACAACCCAAAAATTGTGCAGCAGCTTCATCAGGCCAGGGAACAAGGTGGAGAGACTGCCATTAGGGAACTCAGAATGCCAGACAGTTTCATCTGCCACCAAGCCTACAAGACACTGGTCTCTCTCTGGACCTCATGTCCTTGTCTATGACAGGCAGGGAAGTGCTCCTTAGCTTTCAGATTTGGTGCCTCTAGATCATTTAATGCTACTGAGAGCATGAACCACACACACACACAGTGAGGTCGCCTTTGTGCCAGGCACTGTATTGGAAGCTGTTGATAAATCGCCATTCTTAACCCTCATAAGAGCCCTCAAAGGTTTGTGCCCTAATGGCCACAGCGGGGAGTTGGAACCCGGAGACTGGAAGTGGCTGACTCAGCATGTTGAAGAATCTGATTTTCTGATTTGGATGATTTGAGACCTGGCTCCTGCTTGCGAGTGTCCTCTAATCACTGTTGCGTTCCAGTACTTCACCAAGATCATGTTCACCTCCTTTTAGACATTTTAAAGATTTATTCATTTTATTTTATGTGTATGAGTATTCTGTCTCCATGTATGCATGTATGTATGTATGTATGTTTAGTACGTGTTTGCCCACAGAGATCAGAAGAGGACATTAGATCCCCTGGAGCTGGAGTTGTGGATGATTGTGAGCCATCATGAGAGTGCTGGCCCTCTGCAAGAGCAACAAGTGCTCTTTTGTGATTTTGCTTTTGTTTTTTTTTTTTTTTTGTTTTTTTTTTTTTTTTTTTGAGACAGGATTTCTCTGTATAACATCTCTGACTGTCCTGGTATTCCCATTGTTGACCAGGCTGGCTTCAAACTCAGAGATTTGCCTGTCTCTGTCTCTGTTTCTGTTTTGGGCCTAAAAGCCTGTGCAGCCCAGCTTGCAACAGGAGTTTTTAACTACTGAGCCCTCTCTCCAGCCCCTACACTCATCTTTTTGCCTTAAGGTTTTGTTTGGTCCTGATCGTTCTGGGGCTTGAATACAAGCCCTTGCACATTCTAAGCATGACCTCTACCATTAAGCCACATCACAGCCCTTCCCTTAGTTTCGATCACTTCCCCACCCCCTCACCCCACCCCCACATCCCCAAATCCCTGTGAACTCTGGCTGTCCTGGAACTTGCTCTGTAGACCAGGTTGGTCTTGAACTCAGTCTCACCTGCCTCCGCTTCCTGAGTGCTGGGATTCAAGGTGTCCTCTTCTCTTACTTTTCTATCTTCAGGGTTTTTTTTTTTGTGTGTGTTGTTTTTGTCAGGGATCACCTTTGTGTGCTCGGCAGCCAGCATAGCTCTGGGCACAGAGTATTCAAGAAATGAGTGGAGAAAGGGCAAGTATGAAGGAGGGAAAGGCAAAAAAGGAGGCTAGGACGGAAAATATGTTGCTACTTTATCATATTGAACACCAGGGGAATAGGCTCGAGAGGCAGAGAGCAAGGTAGTTAAGGACAGGGCCAGCCTCTCAGTCCAAACTGCCTGTCTTTGTCACTGAGGATGTTATCCTAGCTAGCTTTAACTGTCATCATGGCATAATCATCACTGGAGGAGGGCCCACTTGAGGAACTGCCCAGAAGGGTATGTCTGTGGAGGATTGCCTTGATTGTTGATTGATATAGGAGGACCCAGACCACTGTGGGTGGCACCATTCCCTAGAGAGGTGGTCCTAGGCTGTATAAGAAAGCTAGTTAAGCATGAGTTTTCATGATCGAGGAAAGCTCCACTCCTCTATGGTTTTGCTATACTTCCTTGGCTGTATGAACTATGCCTGGCTCCAAGTTCTCTCCCTTCACTCAATGATAGACTGTAACATAAGCTAAAATAAACCCTTTCTTCCCCTAAGCTGATTTTGGTCAGAATGTTTTACCACAGCAATGAGTGGGATGTGAAGAGGTGGGACCTAGGGCAGGGGTTTAGTCTGTACTTCAGTGGCTTCTTCTATAGAATGGAGACCTCAATAGTACCAGCCTTGAAGAATGGTATAAATAGTTTTTTATCATACGTGAAGTATGTAGGGCAGTACCTAGGATATGGTAAGCAAAGGCTTAACGTATATTAGTTATTACTATTATTTTTGTGAAATACAGTGAAGAATGTATCCCTGTCAGGAAAATAAATATAAGATGCTATTATGCCAAACAGAGCTCTGTTACCATTCCAGTTCCAGCTGATGGCCAAGGCCATGGTCATCAGAGACTACAAATGCAATGCCCTCACCCTTTCAGTTCTGGGGTAGCAGCATTAGCTATCCATCTCTGGCCTCAGAACATAGAGACATCAATATAAAAGGATCATGATACAGCCATGTTATGGTGATGCTGGTATGTACTCTCAGCACTTGCGATGCTGAGTGTGAGGATGGAGAAATCAAGACAAACCTGTGTGGAAAGGCCTGGTCTCCAGCAAACAAAATAACAGCAGGCTAGCAGTGGTGGCACACACCTTTAATCCCAGCACTCAGGAGTCAGAGGTAGGTAGATCTTTGGGAGCTGAAGGCCAGCCTGGTCTACAGAACTAGTTCCAGGACAGCCAATGCTACACAAAGAAACTCTGTGTCAAAATCACTCCCCCCCCCCAAAAGAAATGACAGCAAAAATTTATTCAATGTTTGGTGAATGAATATAGCATAGCAGATGTATTTACGTATGAAAAATAAAAATATGTGCTAACAAGTGAGAACATGGTTCTGAAAAGAGAGCTCATTCTAGACAGGAAAAGGCAGTGGAATTGTAGAATCAGACAGTCTTAGTGTTGAGTCTCAACCTCAAAAACATCTGGGATGTTTTTAAACTCTTTAAACTGTAGTTTCCTACCAATGGAATGGGAATAATATTTGTTGGCAGATTTAAGTGAAATCATTCAGGTAAGAGTTGGATACCCATTATGAGCTCACAGAGTGTCTCATCATATGGTCAGCATCTTCAGCATCATCATCAAAGGCTTTGTGATGGAGACACTGGCTGCCTGGATGGCTGGGCACAGGGAAGAATACTGGATAACCAAAGGTACTGGGCGTGCTGGAAAGATCCAAGCAGAAACAGGGAGGGCAAGTCTGGTGCTGTTTGACTGGAATGGGAGAGAACATTGGGAAGCTGACATTACCTGCTGGACCAAGGTTAGTCTTTCTTCCACAGTCATGCTGAGACTTTATTATTTTTGTTGTTGTTTTTAGTTTTGTGAAATAGGGTTTCTTTGTGTAATTGCCATGGCTGTCCTGGAACTCGCTTTGTAGACCAGTCTGGCCTCACACTCATGGAGAACTGCCTGCCTCTATCTCCCAAGTGCTGGGAGTAAAGGCATGCACCACCAATGCCAGGTCATGCTGAGACTTTGTATCATTCTAAGCAGGGTGATGGTGGGTTCAGTGCCAGCAATAGGGGGAATCTAGGTATGTGTGCATTGTGGGCTGGGAGAGCAAGCAGAAATAGAGGGGGGATAACCCTCTTCTGAGTGTCCCTTCATACTTCCTAATGAAGTGGTGGGAAAGGTAGAGGTGGTATGAGGAGAAAGCAGAATGACAGGAGGGACACTTGGCAAGACAGAGTTTGTGGGGAGGTGTGGTGACACACACCTTTGATCCCAACACTGGAGAGGCAGAGGGGGGCAGATATCGGTGAGTTAGAGGCCAGCCTGGCTACAGAGGGAGTTCCAGGACAGGTCTTGGGGGGGGGAGTTTATGGGAATGTATAAAAAGCTGGACTGCCAGGCATGGTGACACCTACCTTTAGTCCCAGCACGCTGGAGGCAGCAGCCAGCCTCCTCTACAGAGTGAGTTCCAGGCAAGGCAAGGAAGGCTATACATAGTGAGACCATGCATAAAGAATAGAAAGAGAAGGAGAAAGAGCAAGAGGAAACTCTGGGCCTGGTGATAGCCTCTCATCCCAGATCCTAGCTGGTTTGGAGGCTGAATTACGAGGATTGCCAATTCAAGACCAACTTGGCTACAGAGTAAATCTGGGCAATTTAGTCAGAAAGCTGTCTCAAAATAAAACGTCTTAAACAAACAAACAAGTAAAGAAAGAAAGACTTGTCATAGAAAAAAAAAGAACCTGGGGTACAGCTCAGTAGTAGGGTGCTTGCCTAGTATATGCAAGGCCCTGTGCTCATGCTCCAGCACAAAAAAAATATATTTCTTGTTCATCCCCCAAATAATATCAAGGTCACCCCTCTTAAGAAGGCTTTTGGGCTGGGTGTTGATGTCAAATGCCTTTAATCCCAGCACTCGGGAGGCAGAGGCAGGAGGACCTCTGTGAGTTTGAGACCAGCCTGGTCTACAGATCGAGTGCCAGGGCAGGCTCCAAAGCTACACAGAGAAAACAAAACAAACAAACACCCCCCCCAAAAGGGTTTTGGACTGCTTCCCTTTATTGTGGTATTGTGTTTAGATGTTCCTCCTCTGTGTTCCCTTGTTACTTTTTTTTTTTTTTTTTTGGTGGGAGTAGAATCTCCAGGATGGCCTTGAACTCACACTATGTAGCCCAAGATAGCCTCCAACTTCTGGACTTCCTGATCCTGGGATTATAGGTGTGTCAAATCACACTTGTTTTATGCAATGGTGAGGATCAAACTCATGAGGTCATGCAGGCTAGGCAAGTACTCCATCAGCCGAATGTATCCCCAGCATCGTCGTGAGACCTCCCATGATCGTCAGGGAATACTCAACCATGGGATCTTTGTACTCGTTTGTGTTGGTACCACTACATAGCTGTAATAGTTGAGAGTAGATGGTTGACGCAGCTAAGATGAGAGTATAAAGTCGAGAGGAACAGGGGCTCCCCCTTAGCCAATCCCATCCATATCTCTGGGAGTGAAAGGGCAGCCTGTGAGGAGAAAGGAGAGAGTGGAGATGAACACTGCAGAGAAACCACACTCTATCAGGGTAGCTTCAAGGAAGACACAAGTGCTCAAGCTGCAGAGCAAGTAGAACAGAAGTTGAGCAGGGACCACGAGGTTTCACCGTTAGGATGCTCTTGTCTTAGTGGGAGGAAAAGCTAGATTGCAGGTGCAGGGGGAGGTCTTGCCGTTCATGCATGTGCTGCAGGGCTGGGTACTGAGCTCAGCACCTTGCTAGGTACGTGCTCTGTCTCTCAGCTAAACTTCTCACTCTGTGAAGTGGTGTGGGAGGAGAGGGCTCTGAGATGCACTTAGTTCCATCGTTCAGGGACAAACAGAAGTCAGATGGTGGCTTAAGGTAGAAGCACATGTGTTTTGCCCGGGTGAGTGTCCACTCACCAATGCTTAGCAAAATTATTACTCAACATACACACACACACACATACAATGTAGTAGAAATTTGATATTAAAAGTATATATGTATTCTTGTAAGGTAATGGTGGCTAGATGGAAGCCAGGCTTGAGCCATCCTCCAGCTGCAGGATACATTATCTATACGTGCAGGGCAACAGAGACAGCACTCGTTATCACATGACCACAGACTGAGAGGGAAACAAGAGCCAACAAAGCTCCTTGCATTCTCTGAAGGACAACTAGAAGCTTCAGAAAGTATCTTTTCAAGAAAGAAGTGCAGTCAGGCGGTGGTGGTGCACACCTTTGACTCTGCACTTGTGAGACAGAGGCAGGTGGATTTCTGTGAATTGGAGGCCAGCCTGGTCTACTTACTGAGTCCCAGGCCAGCCAAAGCTACACAGTGACGCTCCTCCCTTGAATCTCCTACCCCAGTGTGTTAGAAACAGGCCCGGGCACCTCACTGGAGCTCTGTTGTCATGCAATCAGTGTGGCCCAGATGTGTGGGCCTCACATCCACAGAGAGCTGCTTGCTTCCTAAGAACCCTCATGGCCTCCTGAATCCTCACAGAATCTGCCTTGCTTTTCTGTTTTACAGGAGTGGAGTGGAGAGAATTAAATGACTATATCCAAATTATTCTGAGGAAATGGCTTAGCCCATGTTCTTTGCTCTATTTGGTGACTTCAACAAACGCTGCTCATGGGGTCTCTCTACAGCACCAGGCCTCTAAAATTCTATCAGTCAGTGACGTAGGCCTGTAATTCCAGAAACTTGGGAGGCTGGGGTGGGAGGATTGAAAATTTAAATCTAGGGCTGGTGAGATGGCACAGTGGGTAAAGGCATTTGTTGCCAAGCTTGACCTGACTCTTAGTGCAATCCCTAGACTCTATACGGAGTCTGCACCAAGGTCCACATGCTCCCTCCCTCCCCCCCTCTAATTAATGATTTTTTAAGAACAACATCAACAAAGACCCCCAGTGTAGCCTAAAGTGATGCTACTGTCTTTTTCTGTGTAAGCACCGAGTGATAACTGATTGCACACTGGAGCTTTGCTTCTATCCTTTCCTAATCAGTTTTGTTATTGAGTGAATTATATCTGCTCCATGGCTAAGCTATTTCCCTGTGATCTCATTGTCTCCATGCAGGCCTCCAGTGGGGGTTCTCACCCCCCCCCCACATTTCTCGTCCATCTGAGCCTCTGCAAGACACATACATCCAAGACCTCTCTTCTTAGCTAGACCTGCTCCAGGTGGCAGGAGAGTCATCCCCTCTCTTGATACCCAACTTCATATAGTTCAAGATGGGCCAGGCTTGGAGCCTGAAGGCCCAGTTTCTAAGCTCAAACTGACAGTCTAGCTCTGTGACTTTAATTACACCAGTGTCCTGATGGAGTTTCTTGATTTGAGAAGGAGGACAGTAAGAGCTATGTTGTAAAGGCGCTGCAGGAACCCAGTGAAATGCTAAATGAGGCCCTGTGTTAGGCTAATTGTCTGTTTCTGCCATCTTGAAAAATCTTAATGCTGTTCAAAGGAAGAGACCTGGGCTTTCATTTTTGCCCTGGGCCTCAGCAAATTATGTACCTATCTGGTCTAACCTGTATGTCCACAGCCAAATCTATATTTAACCTCCCTGGGTGCCATAGCCTGTAATTAACTGATTGGAATGGTTAGGAAAGAAATTGTTAGGGCAATCTCCAAGCCTTCCTTTACTTCACACCTGCAAAATCTGGCACTAAGTTTAAGGGAGGTATCGGTCCTCCCTAACTAAACAGGTCTGTCTGGCTTCCTGCACATCCGCTTTTCTGCTCTCTGTCCTGTCCCTTGGCTGTCCCCCCCCCCCCCCCCCCGCCCCGTGCTCTCATTCTCTGGAGCAGCACATTCAAACTCTACTGCTCACCTCCCCACATCTTCCTTTCCCAGCTGTCCAGACCCAAACCCTTGTCTTTGGCTTTTTCAATCCACATCCCATTTGTAAGTTAACATAGCCACCGTGTTATTTTCTGGCCTCTGCTTCACCATCACTGTTGAAGACCAAGCTGCATCATCTCTCACGTGGATCATCGAAATGCTCTTCTGACTGCCTCCCTTCTTCCCCTTCTCAGCCCACACAGGAGCTAGAACCATCCTTTAGAGTCAGGAGCCAAGTTGTATTAGTCCTCTGCTCAGATCATCCATGGCTGTCCAGCCCACTAGATCCCAACTGAGCCACCTCTTTGTCCCTCCCTCTCCTCTGGCCCTCTTCCTGGGAGGCCTCTAAACTGTCATCACCTGACTCTCCTTTCTCCCCAAGTCAAGCATCAGCCTCCCACATTACCTAAAGACAGCAGCCATCAGCAGCCACCAATGTCTGTTCCTTTATTCTTTTTTAAAACTTATTTTAAATTTATTCTTTGTGTCTTTCACATACATCATGCCTCCCAATGCCACCCATCTCCCTCTCTCCCAGAATAAAACAAAATAAAATTTAAGAGAAAAGGGGGGGGGGGGAAGAAAGGGAAAATCTCATCATGGAAGCTGCAGTGTGACAGTGAGTCAGGAAGTAAACCCCTGTATCCACACATTTTTACATGCAGCTGTCCATCACAAAGACTCACTGGTCTAGTTCAGGGCTGCCGGTCTGGCTGTGCAGTCAAGGCTGGGCCCTGCCCCTTTATCCTCATACCTTCACTTATATTCCTGCATTCCTGCATTCCTGCATTCCTGGCTGTCATTGCCATTGGATACACTGTACTTGCTTTCTGCCCCCCCCCCACACATTTTTTTTTCCCCCTAAGACAGGGTTCCTCTAGCCCTGACTGTTCTGGAACTAGCTCTGTAGACCAGGCTGCCCTCAAATTTACAAAGATTGGCCTGCCTCTGCCTCCTGAGTGCTGGGATTAAGGGCACAGCTCTGTCTTTTAAAAACTGTAAACTATGCTGGGTGGTGGTGGCACATGCCTTTAATCCCAGCACTTGGGAGGCAGAGGCAGGCGGATCTTTGTGAATTTGAGGCCAGCCTGTCTATAGAGCCAGTTCCAGGACAGCCAGGGTTAACAGAGAAATCCTGTCTCAAAAAAAATCAACCATAAACAAACAAAACAAAACAAAGTGAAAACTACATAATGTCAGGAGCTTTTTTTTTTTTTTTTTTTTTTTTTTTTTAAATTTTAAACAGGTCTCACTAGTAGCCTAGGATGGCCTTATACTTTCCACTCTCCTACCTCAGCTTCCTGAGAGGTAGGCATTGGATGAATGACAACAGAAATAATTCTAGAATGGCTGATAGTACTGTTTTAAGTCACAGCGGTCAAACAGCCCCTCATCCCAGGAAGCTGTCCCCACACACTGCAGTGTGGGCACTTATAGGAATGGGTGGGACCGAGCCTCCTTCAAGTTCATGCTATGGGGACAAACAGGTGACTGGACTGGTACTTGCCCATCCTGCCAAGAGTTTGTGGTCGAGAGGGAGGGTTTATGTACATATACACATATCTCTATAATAAGGCAGCTTTTGTTAAAGTGATCTGGCCTTATAGGTAGAATGCAGCCTCTCACATTTTGGCAATAAAGCTAGACTTGTCTGTAGACAGAGGGACCACAAGTTAGGCTTGCAAAACAACAGTGTGGTTATTTCTGTCCCAAATTCCCGCTCTTGACTGCTTATCACACCAGAGACACCTTGCCTGCCTTCCAATCTAGTTCCCTCCAAAGTGTCCCCACTGATCTCCCCCACCCAGCATCACCCTCGATTTGTTAACTTGAGACCCCACCCTCTGGAGTCTCTCTTCACACCCCTTCTAGATACAAGGAAAATGCTGCCAGAGGGATAGAATGGTCTTGGGGAGTTGTCATGGGGCACAAAAGATCTAAGTTCTATTTCCTTCCAATAAAGATGTGTGTCCTGGGGCTGGCAATACGGTTCAGTTGGTAGAGTAATTGCCTAGCCTTCATGAAGTCCTGGGTCCCATTTCAGCACCAAAAGGTCATGGTGGTGCTCACCTGTAACTCCAGTACTTCTGGCACTTGGGAGATGGAGGCAGAAGGACCAGATGTTCAAAACTCATTCTGGGATACATTAGACCCTGCTTTGAAAAAATGAAAGCATGTCCTCTGTCCCCTTTGGGTACTCAGAGCTCAGGACTATGTTGTCCACTTCTGTAGTCTGACAATTTTCTCAGAAGGTAACACAGAGTAGACATCCTGTCTAATCTGCTACATTCCTGAACGGATGTCAAGATCTCTGGAGAAAATCTGACTTGTAAGTACCTCTGCCATTCTCTGAAGGTGTTCTTAGAAGGATTCTATAACACTGTTGTATTGAACTATCACCCAAATATTGAGAATTAAATCATTTGGCCAGGTGGTGGTAGCACACATCTTTAATCCTAGCAGTCTGGAGGCAGAGGCAGGCAGATCTCTGAGTTATAGGCCAGTCTGGTCTACATACTGAGTTCCATACTGAGAGACCCTGTCTCAAACAAAAACCTCACAGCATTTAAAATGCTGGTCTAGATTATAAAAACATAATTTTCAAAATTATATTGAGACCTTTAATCCTATACATGAAAAAATCCAAAAAGTTTAAGAGGTAAATTACAGAAAATACCTGTTATTATACTCTATGAGGCTCCTCTGACTAACCACCCCTCACCCCCACCAAGAGTTATCTGAGCTTTCAGTGGTTTATGGAAGCTCAAGGGACTAAGAAATAGAAAGAAGGATACGTCTTGCTTGTTCAGTACAAAGATACAGTTTAGTGGCAGGGACTCTGGTGTTTGCTATATCATTCTCAATGCTCTTCTGTATTTTAAAAAACTTATTCCTCAGCTAGCGTGGTGACACACATATGCAATCATAGCACTCAAGAAGCTGACGCAGGATTGTGAGTTGAGGTCTGCCTGGGCTGTTTAAGGAGACCCTGTCTCAAAGCAAACAAGAAAAAGTAACTCGCATTTGGCAGATCAAGTTATAGTTTAAACTTCACTGAGAAACTGATGTGCACTACCACAATCCGTGATTATCACCTCTATAGGTACATTATTATATGCAAATATATAGAGGAGATATATATGTACATGTGTACATAAAGAGAGATGGCAGGAGAGGCAGAGAGAGAGGCTGTCATATAGCCCAGGATGGCCCCTAACTCCATATGTGGCTGAGGATAACTCCTGCCTCCTCCTTCCAAGTTCCAGGATGACAGTGTGTGCTATGATGCTGGGCCGAAACTTTTATTATTTATTGTATATTATTAGTAGTAAAACAGCTAACATTGAGGTGCAGCACATTAAATACCAAAAGTAGCACTTGTCAACGAGGCATACGGCAGATGTCTACATGGCTGAGGAGATTTTACCATTCTGGAGAATCCACAAGGCTGGTGCTTTTGTCTCCGTGTCCCAGGTCTGCACTGGCTCACTCTAACTTGAACTAGGGTGGCCCTGGAATGCAAACCTTTTCCCTCACAGCCTGGCTCCGGAACACAATGGGTCCTGTGTCTCCCGACCTTGGCCTCTGTGCTCCCGCTTTGCTTGGGCCACAGTCCCCGTGCCTACGCTCCTTCATCAGTCTGGTGATCCATTGGAGGGAGAACAGCTCCTTTGCCGTTCTGGAGCATAATGCCGTGTTTTTTCACTCAGAGAGGTTTTCCAGCTTCCTCTGGGTGGATGATTAACAGCGGGTTTCACTAATCGTTCTGAGTGGGTGAGCACAAGTGTAGAGATTAGCTTTGAATGCCCAGTTAGTGCTGTGTGCTAGTTACTGTCTCTATTCTAGGGACATACACAGCAAGGCTTGCAACTGATGGTGAAAAGAGCCACACCCAGGAAGATTAATCAATAACTAACTCCACAATCTTCACTGTCATAAGAAATGTATGAAACAGGCAAGAGTGACTATTTACTCATTTTTGCAAATACAGTCACAGGAAAGGGATGTGGGTTGCTCAGGGCCACTGAGTTGGTCAGAACCTAGACCCAGAATTCTTTCTATACTCAGCCATCTCCATTCATGAAAAAGCCATCCCCCTGGAGTGCACAGTCCCCAGGCACTTGGTGCCTTAAAAAGGAATCCAGGGACATGCTGGCACAGGAACCACATGGCTGCTGGGTAGGAAGGAGGCTGCATAAGCCAGACTGTGCCTGAGGGGTTCCCTATATAAATATCAAGCTTGCAAGATGACAGGACCGGCACCAGCCATTTCCCCCTTCACACCTGTGCAGTGTGATAAAGAAAGTGGAATTTGCCCACAGCTGTGGTCTAACCAGATAAAACTTTTAGGCGGGAAGTGACAAGCACATTTGAGTGGTTTTTTTTTAAATGTTAGTTTTGACATTTTAAAAAAGCTTTTAGGGTGCTTGTGAAGTCAGAGCGAATACCAAGAAGACATTGTGGCAAGATGGACGTGGGAAAGGACGGATCTCATCTGCAGCTTCTCCGGACACCTGAAACTCATCCACAGAGAGCGCGCACTGCAGGTAATGACAAACTTTCAGAGGGGGTGGCTCTGGGGACACATTATTTTCCTCTTTTATTGATTGGGATGGGGCAGATAAAAACAAAAACAACAACAAAAAATGGCAATGGCCTACATCCACGGGCTGTGGATACAATGGGCTACAAGATGGACTGTAACAGGCTGAGCTGCATTTTGGTGCTAAGAACCTAGGGGTCTAGAGAAGCACAAGGAGCAGTAGACAAAACCATTAGTGAGACATCTCTTAAGTGAGAGATAGTGAAAATACCCAGGACCCCCCTCTGTTCTGTGGCAGAGCAAGCTGGCGAGACATCTGGAAGGATGTGGCAGCAGAAGTTCCATTAGGGCCTGATGCCTCTGAATGCTCACTCTTTTGCTTCCTAATTGCTCTAAAGGTCTGTTCTAAAGCAGCATTTATCAAAATGTTCTGAGATACCCTGGGGGCACAGTCTGAAAACTTTCAGCTTCTGATAATCTATAGACCCTTCCTTGAAATTAAAAACAATTAAATACATGTGATTACAAAGGTCATCATTGTATTAAGATAGTGATTAACATCATTAAAGTTGTGACACAGCAATATATGTGCTTATTTATAGCTACATTACGCCATGTGATACAGCAGTGGATGTAATAAACATAGCATCAAATCCAACAGATCCGTATCCACAAGTAGTCACTGCAGCTTCATGCAAGAATTGTAGTGTCATATAGGAAAAAATTCTGTAATTCATTTGAATGATAAAAGTACCACACTGCTAAAAACCATTGTGCCTTTTACTTACATTCACACTTTGAAGGAAAATGTAAATGTAATTAGATTTTAGTAAACATATGATTTTTCCTTATCACAAGTTCCTGAGCTCCTGGGAGGTTGTGCATGCTTTTAATCCCAGCACTCAGGAAACAGAGACAGGTGGGTCTCTGTGAGTTTGAGGTTCGAGGCCAGTCTGGTCTACAAAGCAAGTTCCAGGACAGGCTTCAAAGCTACACAGAGAAACCCTGTCTCAAAAGAAAGAAAGAAAAAAAAAAAAAAAAAAAGAGTTGGGAACGCAGTTCAGTAGCATAATGCTTGCTTAGTGCATGTGAGGCCCTAGGTTCAATTCCTAGCACTGCCAGAAAAAGAAATAAAAAAAGAAAGGAAGAAAAAAAAGAAAGAAAGAACTCTTGTCCTAAAAACAAAAAGTGCCTTGGTCTAAGGGCACTTCCTTTCTTGGAGTTCCTAGTGCAGGTCAGACACCCCCACAGGCTGAGAGGGTCAGTCTCAAAGATCTACTAGTTTTTCTTGAATTCAGGTGGCAATAGACTTCTTAAAAATGTTTTTCTAGCAATTTTTTTTTTTTGTGTGTGTGTGATGCATATTTGCATGTATATGGATCTCTGTGTGTTTTTAGGCCAGAGGTTGATATCAGGTGTCTTTTTCCTTTAACATTCTCTATCTTATTTATTGAGTTAGAGTCTCAAACGTGAATCCAGAGCTTGCCAATTTGACTAGTCTACTTAGCCAGTTTGCTTTGGGAATCCCAGTCTCAGGCCCTGCAAACTAGGATTGATTGCATGCCAACCACCAGACCCACTGAAGCCACACATGTGGGGCTTACATTTTTGTGGCAAGTGCTTTGCTTACTGAGCCATGTATCCTTAGTATCCTAAATAATTTAAAGAAACACAGTCCTGAGGGCAAAATCTAATAATAAAAGCATAACTCCAGCAGGGTGTGGTTGAGCATTCTGGAGGCTTAGAATAGGGAATTCAAGGACAACCAAGGATGTACCACATCTCTTTAGACAGGATATACCCCGTCTACCACTACTCCCTCCAAAAGAAAAAATAAAAAAACAAAACCAAAAACAAACAAACAAAAAAACAAAGCAAAACAAAAAACAGCTATATGAGTGAATATGCTTATTTCAGTTGAATTGTAATTTATTGGTTTTTCAGGACAGTGTTTCTCTGTGTAGTGCTGGCTGGTCCAGAACTCATTTTGTAGACCAGGCTGACCTCAAACTCAGAGATCTGCCTGCCTTTGTCTCTTGAGTGCTGGGATTAAAGACAAGCTATGTGTCAGCATCACCCAGGTATCAGTTGGATATTATTACAGTTTGATATATAAGGAAAAAATAAAAGGTGACATGCTATGTGTTTCCTGTGAGTGAAATAAGCTGCTAGAGAATCAGTTAGTGTAAGTACCATGCCATGTGTCAAGGAACTATTTTTGATGTAAGTTAAGTTAGTAAAAGATAAACCGTGCTATGCTATCATAACTACTTTGTATAATATATGGCCTGGATGGAAATAGGGAATGCAATGAAAACAGGTTATTATGTCAAAGATGACAGAAAATGACCTAGTTTTTCTTTTATTACTTGTTCAAATATAAGTTTATTTTGATTAAGTCAGTAGGTCAATAACACACTTATGAACAAATACTGTCTACTCAGGTCTCTGAGCTTTTCACACTCAAATGCTCACTAAATGTCTGCTCCACTGAGTGTGGTGGCAAACATTTCTAATCACAGAACTTCAGGGGCAGAGAAAGGTTGGATCTTTATGAGTCTGGGCCAACCTGATCTACGCAGAAAGTTCCAGGCCAGGGCTACAGTGTGAGATGCTGTCTCAAAAAAAAAAAAATGTCTTTCACATTCTCTGAAGGTGCAAGAATAAGGAAGACATGGTCCTTGACCTCAAAAATCAAGAGGAAAACTCAGGATGGGGGATGGGTGTCTAAAATTCTGTAGGAGGCTGGAGAGGCGGCTCAGCAGTTAAGAGCACTGGCTGATCTTCCAGAGGACCTGGGTTCAATCCCCTGTACCCACACAGCCACATAGCTGTTCCTTACTATCTCTAACTCCAGGTCCTAGGTATCTGATCCTTCTTCTGTCCCCTTTAGGCACCAGGCATACCTGTGGTACACAGACAAAACACCTATACATATGAACTAATAAAACCTATAAATAAAACTTCTGTGGTAGGATACTTGCTGAGGTCACACTCCCCAGTAACTTTCCTTTTTACCCGGCAGAAGTCATTGGAACATGGAGTTTGAGAAACAGAGACGAACTCAGGAAGAGAAGAGCTGAAGTGCAGGAGAAACAGACGTCACAATGGCTCCTTGGGTAGGTTCCTTACCTGAGAGAGGGATGAGTGTGGATCTTGCATGTCCATGCCCAGGCTCACACCATCTTCTCAAGTGTCCTATGAGTCAGGTGGTGGTGTGCTTGTGTGTTTTATTTTTTGTTGTTGTTTGTCTTTAGTCTTCAGCAGCTTAATTCGCATAATGTCACAACAGTCATAATGACAAAAGAAACTTCTTCTTCCTTCTTTCTCTGGGTTTTCACCATCTCCTGAGGTGGGCTCCAGGCACTGAAGCTGGACTGTCCAGAGTAGCTTCTGCTACCCTTCATTGGTTTTGTTAGTGTTAAAAAAAGTGCATAAGCCCTGACTTGGCAGTGCATACTAATCCTAACACTCAGGAGAGTGGTGGTTGGAAGTTGTGAGTTGTAGGCCTCACAGGGCTTAGTGAGAACATATATTGACACACACAAACAAGGGGCTCAATGGTCAAGAGTACTCCCAGAACCCATGTGATATAGATGTATATGCAGGCAAAGCATCCATGCATATTAAAATTAGAGGGCAGGTTGAGGGGATGACCTAGCTGATAAGCAAAAATTATTAGCCTAATGCCCCCAACTTCCTAGTCATTGACCTTGGGCAATTTATGACACATCTCATGGCACCTCAATTTTGTCCTCTGCACAATGGAGATAATAGCATCTATCTTACAGCCTGAAGTAACAGAAGGAAATCACAATAGTACCAGGAACACAGGCAAGACAGAGATGGCTCCCATTGTAATACCATAGTTCTACTTTATTGTTATTTGTGATTCAGTCACCTAAGTTGTATATGGTTCTTACAGCCACCACACAAAATTGGAAGGTATAATTTATCTCATCTGTCCTATAAGGTAGCCAAGAAATGGAGAGGTTGAATGACTTGCCCTAGTCAAGAGGAAGCATGGACTAAACTTTGGGCAGCTCAGATAGTTTGCATCTTTAAAGTAAATTTTAAATTATTTTTACATCTCTCTTAACCACTGAACATCTCTCTGGCCTTGATGATGATGGTGATGGTTTATTAGAGAGAGAGAGTTTATTAGAGACTCAGCACAGCTTTCAGTAGTTCTTTATGTCCACCAGCGATGTATCAGGCTTGGTGGAAAGTGCCTTTACCCACTGAGCCATGTCACTGGCTTTGTTTTGTATTTTAAAGATTTATTATTATTATTTTAAAAAGTGTGTGTGTGTGTGTGTGTGTGTGTGAGAGAGAGAGAGAGAGAGAGAGAGAGAGAGAGAGAGCCAAACGACAACCTCAAGTCTGGCCTGGAGTTTATCAACTAGGTTCAGCTAGAGGTCCAGGGATCTCTGCCTCTCCAGCTCTGAGATCACAAATTCATGGCACCACACACTATGTTTTTACCTGGGTGCGGAAGATAAATAGAATTCAGTTAAGCCCTGTACCCTTGAAACTATCTCCCTCAAGCACGCTTTCTTCCCCACCCTTCCCCCTCACTCCATTACACACACACACTTTCACACACACTTTAGCTTTAAAACCAAAATGTCTATAGGAGCACGTTCCTAGCAAACTGAACACCTAGGGCTGTTCATTTCGAAAACTCGGAAATTGAGGTATGGGGCGAGGAAGGGCTTGTTTAAGGTCATGTAACAAGGCCACAAGGACAGGGGTGGGTATTGGAAGCATTCATTTAGATCCTGTAGCCCTGTTGCTGACATTAATTCTGGCCTCTCCGCAGAGAACAGAAAAAACGCAAGTACCAAAGAACAGGAAAAAGAAATCCAAGAGGCCAAAAGAGACTAAGCATCACAGAGAAGACAGAGCCTCAGTCACAAACAGGAAAGCAAAGGATGCAGAAAGTATTGGTAGAAGAAACCGAGTGCCCTGTCAACCCTGTGAGTGAAACCCTCCCATTGGTGGCCTTCCCCCCAGAAGCTGTGACTGCAGAACACTGTGCTGAAGCACACCAAGAAAGCATTCAGTGCCAGGATGTAGCAATACAGAACCATCCTCAAGCACACAAACTTAGGGCCAAACCTGAAGACCTGTCTCCTAACATGTGCCAAGAAATAGATGTACTTCAACATTGTTCTAACATGTGCAGAGATATGGCTGAACCTGAGGCACTTTCCTCTGGAATGTGCCAGGAAACAGCTATGCCCTTAAACCATTCTTCCAAAGCACCCCAAGATATGGCTGGGCCCGAAGTGCTCTCTCCTGAAGTGTGCCAACAACCAGCTGTGCTTGAAGAACATCCTCTGGAAATGTGCGAAGATGTGGCCAGACCTGAAGTCCTCTCTCCTAAAATACACCAAGAGATGGCGGTTGTTCCTTGGTCAACACCTGGAGATGCTGCTGGCCCAGAAGGATGCTCTCCTGAAGCACTCCCCCAATCAGATGTGCCTGAAGGCTATCCACTTGACACATGCCCCAGATCAGTTACACCAGAGAAAACTATTTCCCAAGCAGATCAGAGAATGGCTGTGACTGAAGGCTGCTTTCCTGAAACACGAGAATGCACTGTGTCTGAAGATATTTCTACAAAAACACACCAAGAAGCAGTTGAACCTGAATTTATGTCTCACAAGATCCACAAACTCACTGAGCCTACAGTCTCCTCTCATAAAATAACCCAAGACTCACCTGGGCCTGGAGAATACTCACCTGAGATATGCCAACCATCACTTGGGCCTAGAGAATGCTCGCCTGAGACCTGTCAACCATCACCTGGGCCTGGAGAATACTCACCTGAGACATGTCAACCATCACCTGGGCTTGAAAACCATTTGCCTGAATCCTGCCATGAAATGCCTGGGCCTGAAGACCTCTCTATCAAGACCTATGAGAACAAGGATGGGCCTAACCCCTGCCTTCTGGAACAAAGTCAGGAAGCAGGTGGGTCCCAAGGACAGGACCCTAATGCCCACCAGGACAGTGAGGGTGCTTGGACTTTCTCTCAAGGTAGGGTATCTGTATAGCAACAAGTCCCTCAATTTGTGATTTAAAGCTGTCTTTGACAGTAGCCAGTTACCTCATTGGGAGCCATGAATATTTCTGGATCTTTTCAAGTAAAATGTATTTTTCAGGGACCAACATTCTGTTGGCACATTTCCAAAAAAAATTAAATAATTGAAAATTCTATTTACCCATTTTGAGAAACTATAGTAAGAGAAACAAACCTGGAATAGAATTAATTATGTGCAAAAAAAATGTTCTTTTTTGTTTTTTGAACTAGTATTCAGTATGTAACTGTGGTGGTTGGTTTTTTGTTTGAAACCAAATTCTGGTCCTCTGGAAGAGTAGCAAGTACTCTTAGGCACAGTCATTTCCCTAGTTCTCTCTCTCTCTCTCTCTCTCTCTCTCTCATACACACACACACACACACACACACACACACTTCTTTTAAAACACAGAATCCTGAGCTGGGGGTGCTGGCATATACCTTTAATACTAGCACTGAGGAGGCAGAGGCAGGCAGGTCAGTCTCCATACAAATGGAAATGCATAATGAGACTCTTCAAAAACAAAATAGAACAAACAAGCAAATCAAACTCAGCCTGGAGGAGGAGGGCTTAGTGGTTAAGTGCATGTACTGTTCTTGCAGAAGACTCAAGTTTGGTGTCCTGCACCCACTGTGGCTTATAACTGCCTATAGTACTAGTTCCAGGAGTTCTAATTAATGCCTTTCTCTAACCTCTAAGGGTTCCTGCACATACCTGGTGCACACAAGTGAATGCATACACAAATACACGTAAATATTAATCTTTTTAAAAGGCGTTAGTGAAAAAAAATAAAAATAAAAGGCGTTAGTGACGCACACCTTTAATCCCAGCATTTAGGAGGCAGAAGCAGGTGGATCTCTTTGAGTTTGAGGCCAGCCTGGTCTACAAAGTGAATTCCAGGACAGCCAGGGCTACACAGAGGAACTCTGACTTGAAAAACAAAACAAAAATCCAAGGTTATAGAAACACCATTTCTGTGACATGGCATTTTAGTATCTAATATCTAATCCAGCTGAAATGTGAGTGCATGGTTTGTGGCACAGCTTCCCTCTCCCAAGAGAGTAACCAACTGTGCCAATACTGTTCATTGAATCTATTATTTTGTGTTTCATTTGATTTTACAGAAATAAAGGAAGATGCTAAAGCAGATCAAGATCCAGAGACACCATCAAGTCCACAGGGTCCTCAAGAGATCTGTCCAGACAATGACAACTGTAGCTATGTTTTGTTTTAACAATTCTCAGCAATTAAGTTGCAATCCAACTGAACAGAACACAGAATACACATCTTTGCTTGTATTTTATGGAAAACATCATAGCAATTGCTACAGCTTGCATCACTATTTCAGCTTGTATTTTTTCCCATGTTGATCCTATCTGAAAGACAGAACTAATTTTTAAAGACTCTAACACATAGGTGAGTGTGTGTGTGTGTGTGTGTCTGTGCTATCTGAGGATGTACATATGTTATATGGCAGACGATGGATGAATAAGAGCAGGGGAAGTGGTAAGTAGTTGACTTTTTTCCCTCTAAGAAGAAACACATATTTCGTAATTTTGTGAAGATAATTTTGATAGGAACATTTAATATTTTGAAAGTATATAGTTTCTTGTGATTTTGTCAGTTATTGATGTTGCAATATCAGAATTTTATTCAAGCTTTAGATGGCTCTATGAGCTAATCTGAATTTTTTGTTTTGTTTTTCCATTCTTTGTGTAATAGTCCTGCCATCCTGGAACTCACTTTGTAGAGCAGGCTATCCTGAAACCCATGAGATCTGCCTGCCTCTGCCTCCTAAGTGCTGGGATCAAAGGCATGCACACCACTGCTCAGCAACAATTCTTATTCTGGAACTTCTTGCAAAATATTTTTGGATATCATTTACTTCTGTGTGTAAATCTGGACCTTCTATTTCTATTTTTTCAACTGTATTAGTAAAAAAAATGTACATTAAATCATTACTATGCACTAAACTGTGTTATCAAGATAGCATCTTGATATGTGCTAGAGTGGGGTGGGGTGGTAAAACACCTAAAAGGCAAGCCATCTTTGTTCATTAGTGTTTAATCTGGTCTTACAGAGAAACAGAAAACAAATCATTCCAAAAGAAAGCAGACAGTGTGGCAGTTTCCTCTCTGAGGAACCTATGTCCTGGTTCTTGCCCATGTTTTTCTTCCTATTAGAGTGCCTCACATTCTCTTAATCTTCATACTTAAAATTTACATTAAAGTGTCATTAATAACCTCCCCCAAAAGGAACATGTTGGTACCATAGGGTCAGTACATGTAATGAGAGGAGTGTGTTCACCTATCCTGACGTGGAGACTTGAAGGATGGGAATTATCTGTGCAGGACACCCCCACCAGTACAGTTCAAGGTCAAGAGAACTGCATTCCAATTGTGGCAATGTCAGATCCATATGGGACAGTTGTCATGAGGCAGCTAATCTATTATTGGAGTGTAGAGTCCCACTGGACCTGGAGTTACAGGGGGTTGTGAGACATCTGACATAGGAACCAAGCCTGTAAACCTGGGTCCTCTTTGAGAATAGTGTATTTATTCTTTCTTTTGACAAGAACTCATCATACAGCTCCAAAATGACCAGTCATATAAACTATCCTGGCTTCAAACTCATAGAGATCTGTCTGCCTCTGCCTCTTGAGTGCTGGGATCTAAAGCATCCACTACTACACCACTACACTGGGCCATAGAAAGTAGTCTTAACTGACTGGGCATGTCTCCAGCCCGGGGTGCAGACTTGCAGACTTAAACATTTATTAGACTAAGGAGTAAGGCTTTTGCATAATGAAGTTTAAGTTTTTATATTTTAGGAATTCATCTAGTTACAATGGCCACAGTGAACTGAAAATGACAGACCAGGGGCAGGAACACAAATGATTCTGGGTGAGGAAATATTTGAACATATTCCCTGGTATTTCACTGATTTGGATTTTCCTTGGACTATCATTGAAGACTAAAAATAAGACAGACACTGGCAAATGAAAGCACACTCAGTAAGACCATGTGTTAAGTTCTGAGACTGTATCAAAAAGGCAAGGCCACCCCTCACAACGCGTGGTTCATGAGAGCCACCAGGAGAGCCTTGGAGCATACAGGTGCTCAGGACTCTTCCCTAGGGTTCTATTTGAGGTGATGTCTAGGCATAGGTGTATTTGTTTTTTTGAATGGCCCATGCTCTAAGGTTCTAAATAGTTAAAATTTTATTTTATCTATACTTCCTGCATGTACATCTGTGCACCACAGCATGCCTGGTGCCCACAGAAGTCAGAAGACAGCATCAGATCCCTTAGAACTGCACTTATGAGAAGTTATGCCTGTCCATGTGTGTGCTGGGGATTGAACCTACATCTTCTGCAAGAGCAACAAGTGCTCTTAACCACTAGGCGTTTTTGTTTGTTTTCTGTATCATTTGCCGTTTTGAAGACAGGGTCTTATATAGTCCAGGTTGGTCTGAAACTCACCTTGCAAGTGTGCATCGACATGCTTAGCTTTATGAAGTAGTAGGATTTGAACCAAGGACTTTGTATGCACTTGGCAAACACTCTTCCACCTGAGCCACATCCCCAGTCTGCTTTAAAAAAAAAAAAAAAGTGTTCTTGGTTATTAGTGAAAGTGTGTGGGTTCATGTGTGCCAACATATGCAAATGCATGTGAGACCAGATGATGCTGTTGGTCCTCAAATGCTCTCCATCTCCATCTATGTTTATAGGCAGGGTCTCTCACTTGAAACCAGAAATAATACTTGGGCTAACCAGCTTGTTCTAGGAATTGCTTGTTTCTACCTCCTGCAGGCCACTACACCTACCCAGCATTTATGTGGGTGCTGGCACCCAAACTCTAGTCCCTCACTTGCATGGCAAGTGCTTTGCCTACTGAGCCATCTCCCAAGCCCTTGTCCTATTCCCTTCTACCATTCATACTACTTTCTTAACTACATCCAGACACCTTGTGAATCAAATTATTGCTGTTTTCCTGTTTGTGTAGTGCTTTGAGGTCATGCATTAGAATTTTCCAAGAACCCACCTTAGCTCCACTTTGTGCAGCCCTCTTCCTGTGACAGAAAGGAGTCTGCATGTGTCCGAGTTACATTGGAAGACATAAAAAAAAAAAAAGTGTATGTTTGTCTCTGCCTGCCTCAGCCTCCCCAGTGCTGGGATTAAAAGCATGAGCCATCATGCCCAGCTTTTAATTTTGTGTGTACGTATGCATGTGTGCAGGTGCCTGTGGAGGCCAGAAGAGGGCATAAGATCCTGTGCAAGTGGAGTTACCGCTGGTTGTGAGCTGCCACATGAGTGCTGGGAATCCTCAGGAAGAGCTGCCTGTATTTTTAACTGCTTCAGCTCCTCTTCGTTCGTTTTTAAAGGCAGATTCCTAGGTCTAGTGCTCCAAGTCTACTTTCAATAGTTGGCACAGTTGGTAATTATACACTTTTGATATGATTATCAAGTGACTAACTACCATGTGTTTCTGGAGGATAGATGCCTTTTACTTTTCAGTTTTATCGTATTAACAGCGCCGACTAGTGGCAATTGCTGTTTATACGGCTCATTTTTGAAGCGTGCAGATGTTACCCAAGGGTTCTCGAACTTGTTTCTCCAGCTAGACCAGTATGTCCCTAAAAGAAAGTCTTTTGCAAGTTTCATGTACAAAACTCCTGAGGATACAGTATCAGTTTTAGCTTTTAGAAACCCTCTCTTTAAAAACCTGCTCCTACTACTGTTTATTTCATACTAGTGACTTGCTAGCCAGTGGCAATACATTTAGAAGAAACTTTTTCATGGTTAAGCCTTTAATTTGTAGACTTGTATACTTTTAGTGTTTATGTTACGGGTAATGTGAGTGGGTCTCCCCGCCCCCCTTTCTTCTAAACCAACAAGATTTTGAAATTTCTGAAACAATCATGTATACAAAGAAACAGTTTGGTTGAAAAAGACTCCTACAAGTGGTTCAAGCACAGGCAGTTGGTGCAGGGACAACTGGATATTGCGTGAGATTAAAGTACAATTTTTGCTGGCCCCAGCTTTCCAATGTGCGTGATGGCTCTTTACTCTCGTTTTGGTTTCGGTGGTTTGGAGCTCAAGAAACGTCCCCGATTATTAACTCAGCCTACGTTGGCTGTAACATGCATCACCACCTTGATCCACTTGGGCTTCTTTCCTGATAGTTACCACTGAAAAAGTGGAGCAGAGTGACAAAAATACAACCCACGTCTGAGAACGCTAACCTCCAGTTCATAGGCTCAGCGGGGAAAGGAACCCGCTAACACGAGCCGAATTTGATTCCCGGAGTCACACGGTGAAAGGAGAGAACCTGCTCCTGCACTGTCATCTGGCTTCCACATAAATGTGAAAAAAATCCCCCGAACTCCAGTTCTTTTGCTACGTGTCAATTCCCTTTGAAGCTCTGGGTATCGTCTGGTCATGGAGTCCGCTCCTAATTCAAGGGTATCTTTGCGTGTACATCTCTATCCAAGTGTCCCATTTCGGAGGGCACACTGCAGGCTGTCTCATGTGCACCAGCGCCGCACACAGGGTGGAAGGTGGGCTGAACGCACAGTTTCTCCGCGACCAGCACAGGCCACCACGCGGCAGCTGGGCCGCCATAGAAGGTGTTCTCCCAGACCCGGCACTAAACGACTACTGCGCAGGCGCGCAAGCCTGCAGGGCGGAAGCGGAAAGCTGCGCACGGCACGTAGACGATTCAGAGGCTCGCAGCCATGCGCGGCTTGGCGGAGCGGCGCCCTAGCGCGCCTGCGGCCCCGTGCGGATGTGCTCAGCCCTCCCTGGAGACAGGTAAATTACAGTAAGCCGCACGCGCTGCGCCCGGAGCAGCATCGTGCTAAGCGGCCGGCTTCCTCGCCGAGAACGCGAATTGCCGGATGGGTGTTCTTGTCCTTGCCGCCAAAGTGAGGGTCATGTGTTCCTGCGGTCACGTGACGTGCCAAGTCCAACGGGAGTGACGTTTACGTTTTTGTTAGCGGGGTGTGCCCTGGCTTTAGTCCCAGCACAGTTAGGTTGGCCACGTGTGTTTTATGGTCTCTTTCTTAGGGATCTACAGAGAGCTTGGATGTGTGTAGCTGTTGCTGTCATTTGGCCCTAGTTTCCCGTCTTTAATCCTCTTCCTCAGGATCATGGATGAGGATCGAAAAACAACAACAACAAAAAACCCAAACATACAAAAGTAATACAGCAGTACCCGAAAATATTCTTAGAAAAAACTTAAGAGTTATCGGAAACATACACAATATAGAGGGACCGAGAAGGCCAGTCTAAGAAGATGATTTACAGTGTGGTGTCTGCTTTTATAGAATCCAGAGTAAATGCAGTGTTGTTTAGACTCAGAAGTACATATGATCAGATTGTTTCTGAAAGGAGATAAAGACCCCGATTGCAGCTCCTTGGAAGCTGTCTACACAGATGCAAACAGTGGCACTGTGGTTGGTATGACTGGTGGGTGTATTGTACATTAACTTACGTACTGCATATAATCTTTTCTGTGTATAAGTAAAAGAGTTTTTATAAATAGAAAGTAAGGAAATGTTCAGTGAGACAATCCCAGATTTGTAGTTTATTTATTTATTTATTTTTTAATTTTTGAGACACGGTTTCTCTGTGGTTTTGGAGGCTGTCCTAGAACTAGCTCTTGTAGACCAGGCTGGTTTCAAACTCACAGAGATCCTCCTGCCTCTGCCTTCAGAGTGCTGGCACTAAAGGCATTCGCAACCACCACTTGGCCAGACTAGTAGTCTTATTGGTTGTGCTAATAAGACATATTTAATACAAATGAGGTTAAATGGAGATCTTGAGTGTCTCTTCAAAGAACATACAAAGAAGTAATTATAAATCTAAATTATAATTTTAATTTCTACCTCAGTATATAATCAACACACTGTTAAAATAATTTATATATTTATGTAATTATAAATAAAAATTGAGGTGGGTATGCTGATACACAGTTGTGATCCCAGCTGCTGGGGGATGGGACTGATGCCGGAGACTCATTTGTTAGAGGCTGACTTGAGCTACTAGCAGGACTCTGTATTTAAACATGTTTTTAGTAGTTATGTTGTACCTAGAGTTTAGAACTATGAAATCAATACATGAGAAGAAAACATGTTTTCTTACATCTTTGACCTTTTGAGTAGTCTTACCCAATTTTTTTCCATAGGAAATCTTTTAACTGACCCAATAGGCTACTTGGAATCATGTTTCTCAGCCAAGAATGGTACTCCAAGGCAGCCTTCCATTTGTAGCCACTCCAGAGCCTGTTTGAAGATCAGGAAGAGCATCTTTAATAATCCAGATCATTCCTTGATGGGCCTAGAACAGTTTTCTCATGTTTGGTAAGTTTTATAATTAGAAGTATAGTTTGGGTGCTGAGGAAGTATGCCAATTGAAGGCAACTTTGGAGGTTTCCATCATTGCCACTTTTATCTGTATGATTATGGATTATGTATGGATTCCCATACTCAATTTGTGCATTTGATTGTTTGCATATTTGGAAAATGTTAGCATGCTACATGGCAAACAGTGGGCACTTGGAAGTGGTGTTCACTTGGCTGTGTATAAGTGTGTTAAGTTCCTGCTGTATGCCCATCTTTGTGTTGAGTACTAAGCCTGTAGAGATGCCGCTCTTCCCACAAGGACAGAGGGAGGGCTCATTTTCCATGATTGGTAAATTCTGCAAAAACTATTCTTTTTATTTTTTTCCAGACAAGGTTTGTCTGTAGCTTTGGAGCCTGTCCTGGAACTCTCTCTGTAGACCAGGCTAGCCTGAGACTCACAGATCCACCTGCCTCTGCCTCTGCCTCTGCCTCCTGAGTGCTGGGGTTAAAGTTGTGCACCACCACCACCACCACCACCACCCAGCCAATAAAAACTATTCTTTTTTTTAATTAGTGGGAGATTACATTCCCTTCTGAGATCACTATACTAAAATAATTTATCCTCTTTTTAAATAAGTGGTTTGGTTTATTTTCAATAGGATTTTGTTTGTTTTTCACAAAAACGGCCATTTGAACTACAAAGCAAAAGTGCAGCCGCCTAGGCTGAATGGGGCAAAGACTGGCGTGTTCTCCACAAGGAGCCCACATCGCCCTAATGCAATAGGACTGACCCTGGCCAAACTGGAGAAGGTGGAAGGTAACTCACTCATTTTACTCTATAATGCCGGCCACGCTGGGCAAGGAGGAAGGTTGCTCACTCACTTCTACTTTACTGACACAGGTGGAAGGTCACTCATTTACTTGTACTTTGACCTTTCCTGTCTTACTCTTAAAAGTCTTATGAAATCAGTTTAGAATTCACGGGTAGCTGCTGTTCATGCCAACACTGTGGCATTACTTTTGAGAACCCTCAGACACTTAGGGATGTATGGTGATTGAGGGTGTCAGCATTGGAAACACTACAAGATCAGATCTTAGAAGGTGCTCAGAGCTTGTTTTTATTGTCATTCTGATATTTTAAAAAATCAGTGCTTTTTTTAAAAACTCAAAAGATTTTGTAGTCATTAGGTTAGTAATAACTTTTTTTAAGACTTGGGATGTAGGAAATACAAGATGATTAAAATTTATTGACTATTTTCAGTTGTGATGCATAGTGCCCAATTGTTCATGCGTTTCTGGAACGCAGGGGAAGAGTGATATCGTTTCTTTGCAGCCTGAAGGAAAGAGACATTTGGGCTGCAGTGTAGGCCATTAGCTATGCTATGTGTTAGTGGCCTGGGATGGTTATATTACAGGCTTTAGCATCTATCAGACTATAGACGTGCCATGTAGAATATGGGATTGGTTTTAACTGTGCTCAGGTAATAACCTAATCAGACCTTTTCAGAGAGCTTCTGGTTTTTGTTTTGTTGTTTCTGAAACAGGGTCTCATGTATCCAGGTTGGCCTTCAAATCCACATAAATCCATATAGGACTGAAGATGCCTTTGAACTTCTGTGGTTACACTCAGTTTACATGGTGCTGGGGTTGAAGCCAGGGCTTTGTGCATAGTAGTAGGCAAGCACTCTACCAGCAGAGTTCCACCCACGCTCAGAGAGCTTCTCACTTTGGAATGATGGACCAAGTTTTTGTTAGAAAGGCAGAAGATGGCAACATATGGATAGGAGTCGGGAGCCCATTCTGGGCTGCATCTTGATCTCTTGCTCCTGAAGTGGGTGGAAGTGTGGGGCCTGCCTCTCTGACTCTGGAGAGCTTTGGTTGCTGAGGATCATACACAGCAGATCTTCAGTGCTCTTCAAGACATTGGACTAAATAGTCAAAATGCTATTTTGTTCTTCTTAGGCCCTCAACTCTGCTGAATTGTGCTCAGTTGTATGGTGGGTTTTCAGCATATTCAGTTGCTTGTCCACCTGGTTTTCTTAATTTGGCTTATCCTGTTGGACAATAGCATTAGAACATTTTCTGTTCATGCAAATTGTTTGTCTTGGTTACTGTTGTCTTGGTTACTGTTCTGTTGCTGTAGTAAGATACCATGATCAAGGCAACTTATAAAGGAAAGTGTTTATTCAGCGCTTACAGTTTTAGATTGTAGTCCATGACCATCATGGTGGGGAGCATCGCAGCAGGCAGGCATGGTGCTAGAACAGTAGCTGAGAGCTACAAAAACACGAGGCAGAGAGAGCTGACTGGGAAAGGCATAGACTTGAAATTTCAAAGCCCACCCCCACTGACACACCGTCTCCAACGAGGCCATGCTTCCTAATCTTTTCCAAACATTCTCACCAACTGGGGAGTAAGTATTCAGATATATGAGGCTTTGGAGCTCATTCTCATTCAAGCCACCACACTACACATATTTTTTTGTTTTTGTTTTTTAATTGATGTTGACTTTGTGTCAGGCTTTGTAGATGATAGAGATATGTTAATGATTGGCTCAGATAAAAATTCCTGTACACAGAACTTAGTTTCTGTTGAGAGAAGTGAAATCAAAAAAGTGAACGGGCAAACACTAATCAATTATGAATAATGTAGGGGTGGAGACAGGAGTGCTTCTTTTTCTACCTGTCATGAGCCAGTCATTCCTGTGTCAGAGACCACTTGATAAGTGAAGAGCATAATAAATAATGTTCATGCACAGGAATGAAGGACAACCCGGAACCACAAACAGCATAGGAGTTTGCTATGAACTCTTGGGTTCTCCTGTGAATTTTATCATTTAGATAGTCTTGTGTCATCTTTGCCCAGGCCCAGCCTTGCACATAGCATGTTTCAGACATCTCGGATTCTTGCAGTCATGTTTTTCTTAAGTAGATTCAGAATCAGTGTGATCACATATGTTTTGGTTCTCATTCGTTCAGAGTTCCAAGAGTCAGGATAGTGAGGCTCTGTGCCAGCCGCAGGAAGTGGACAACAACTATGCAAGTGTGACAGCAGAGACATGTCTTAATATTTAGTTACAGGGCCTTGTGCCCTGCTGACTTTTTTGAGTCTTCATGGATGTAATTCAAGTTCTGTGTAAGAAAATGACCCAAAGTATATCCGTTTACACAGCACACCTTGATGATATGTTTAAAACTTTTCCAGGAGTCAGCAAGATGGGCTTATCTTTGCTGGTCCTCTGCAGAGAGATTGTTACAGAATTCATTTCCTCATAGGTGTAGGACCGAGAGCCCTACCTTTTGCTGGTATTGTCTAGAGCTATCCTCAGGTCCTGAAGGTTACCCACATTCTTTTTTTTTTTTAATTCATTTACATTTCCCACCCCCTATCCCATCCCCTTTCTCCTCCCCAGGGAGGGTGAAGCCTTCATGGGGCACCTTCAAAGTCTGTCATATCATTTGGAGCAGTGCCTATGCCCTCCTCCATGTGTCTAGGCTGAGAGAGTATCCCTCTGTGTGAAATGGGCTGCCAAAGTCCATTTGTATACTAGGGATAAATACTGATCCACTACCAGAGGCTCCATAGACTGCCCAGGCCTCCTAACTGACACCTACATTCAGGGGGTCTGGGTTGGTCCTATACTGGTTTCCCAGCTAACAGTTTGGGGTCCATGAGCTCCCCCTTGTTCAGGTCAGCTGTTCCTGTGGTTTTCTCTAGCCTGATCTTGATCCCTTTGCTTATCACTCCTCCCTCTCTGCAACTGGATTCCAGGAGTTCAGCTCAGAGTTTAGCTGTAGGTGTCTGCTTCTGCTTCTGTCAGCTACTGGATGGGGGCTGTAGGATGGCATATAATATAGTCATCAGTCTCATGACTCTCTACTGTTGCTTAGATTGGTAGTTGGGATCATCCTTGTAGATCTCAGGCTGCCCACATTCTTAGGGTATCTCATGGCTGATTGGCACTTGAGCTTTCCTGGCATGCCTGTGCACTTCATTGGACTGTAGGGAGAATTAGTCAGGTTGAGTCTGTGGCCAGCAAGGAGTCCTGTGTGGAAATTATCACTGGAAGGTATCAGAACTCTTTTTTTGCCATATTTTTTGGCTTAGATTAAGTTGAACTCAGAGAAGGGGTTACACAGGGCATGAGCATCAAGTTGGGGAGCATGTCAGGCCTCCTAAAGTCTGCTTGCCACAGTGGAGATACACATTGGTCTTGGTGATATGCTGAGGACTGGCATGTTCCTAGGAGTGATGCAAAGATGAATAACCACAACATGTGTTCCAGGAGCCTGCTCACTGTTAAGGCACAGAGGCATCGGTAAGCCATTGTCCTTCTGTATGAAAAGGCTTGACACTTATGCCTCTGTGAGACTCAGAAGAAAGTGCTAGGAAGGTTTGTAAGTGATGTGTTCTGTGTGAGCCTTGAGGAGTAGGAGTTTAGCAGATGATGGTGTCAGAACAGTGTAAGTGGGCTCAATGAGATGCAAGCAGGCGTTTGGAGAGAGACTTAGGGGATAATCTTGCCTGTACCACTATCCACTGTAAACACATAAGAGGATCTTTATCCACTTTCAGGTGGCACTGTATACCTGTCTGGAATTGACATGATACATGGCACACCTGTGTTAGACATAAAGCCCTACATTGCTGACTATGACTCACCACGGAGCGAGGAGCCTTTGGAGGACTTGAGTGTGCAGAATAACCACCATCAGCTGAAACCTGCATCCCAGTCTGATGGCACCACTGATAGTTATGACCAGCAGCTGCTCTCAGGGTGTGGGAAAGCACAGCACAGCCTTAGCACTGAGGACAAACTGAAACGCCTTGAAGAAAACTCCCAGAAGTCCAGAGATAGCACAGAAAGCCAGCACACTTTGCCTGAGGACAGAGAGAGAACAATGGATTTGAATCTGGAATCAAGCAGTATGGGTATGGCTGAAGAGCAGCGTGGCCCACAGGATCTGAAGAGCTTTCTGGATGAAGGCACAGATAGATCAAGGAATGTGGAATGTGCCTCGGTCCTGCAGGGGAGCAGCACAGAGAACCGGTCGCCTTCCTGCCGTGCCAGGACAGCTGACAGAGTGTCCTACAGTGTCATCCCCACCTGGGTGAAGGAGGCCCCTGCAGCCTCTTTACAAGTCCGGTTTACTCCTCATGCGGAGCTGGACCTGAGGAAGCTCAGTCCAGGAGGTAAGCTAAGGTACCCGGGGTCTCCTATGCCTGAGTGAGAGATGAGCTCTCCTTCCTTTGTTTTGTATCTGTTCTTACTGTGCTGGGGATCAGGGCCATGCATGTTAGCTACATATCCAGTCAAATGACACAGTTTTCTTCATAATGAAATCTAGCTAGGATCGATACTTCTGAAAACAGTTACATATATGGAATATTTGTCAGTGTGACTGTTTTTGTTGTTGTTTTTCAAGATAGGGTTTCCCAGTAGCTGTAGAGTCAGTCCTGGAACTCGCTCTGTGGACCAGGCTGGCCTCGAACTCACAGAAATCCATCTACCTCTGCCTCCTGAGTGCTGGGATTAAAGGAGTACTCCACTGCCTGTCATTGTGACTGATATATACATTTTATATATATATATAAATTTATTTTTATATTTATTTGCCTACATGTATGTCTGTGTAAGGGTCAGGTCCCCTGGAACTGGAGTTTCAGACAGTGTAAGCTGTCATGTGGGTGCTGGGACTTGAACTCAGGTCCTCTGGAAGAGCAGTCAGTGCCACTGGGGCATCTTTCAGCGTCCCTCCTACCCCCCCCCCTTTTTTTTTTCCTTTGGTTTTTCAAGGCCAGGTTTTTCTGTGTATGTAGCTTTGGAGCCAGTCCTGGAACTCGTTCTGGAGACCAGACTGGCTCTGGAACCCTTCTCTCAGAGGTTACCTCTGCCTCCTGAATGTTAGTATTAAAGGCATGCATCACTGCTGCCCAGCTTTTTAAATAGTTTTTAAATTTTATGTATATGGTGCTCTATCTGCATGTATACCTGCAGGCCAGAAGAGGGCACCAGATCCCATTATAGATGGCTGTGAGCCGCACCATGTGGTTGCTGGGAATTGAACTCTGGACCTCTGGAATAGTGGCCAGTGCTCTTAACCAGTGAGCATCTCTGCAGCCTCTGGTTTATAAACTCTGGGTGCCCCATCACATGACTCAGTCTGTTTACTGCTGTTTAGTTGGTATTTAGTCCTAGTGTTCAGAAGGCATCTGTGGAAAGTGGCTGCTGCCTCAGGAGACACCCATGACCTGCAGTCCTTGTCTTTCATTCTTTTATTTAATATATATTTTATTTTAATCACATGTATGTATATGTGTCAGTCTTGGGATTATGTATTCTTGTATGTGCTGGTGGAAAACAGAGGCGGGGGGCTTTGGATCTCCTGAAGCTGGAGTTAACAGGCATTTGTGAGCTGTCCTATATGGGCAATAAATGCTGAATTCAAATCCTTCATATGAGCAGTGAGTGCTTTTAACTACTGAGCTATCTCTCCTGCTCTGCTTGCCTTTCTCTGTTCTCTTTTCTTTCTTTTTTTATTATTATTTTTTTACATTCCAATCCCAGTTCCCCCTCTCTCTTGTCCCCCCTTCTTCCCATCTGCTCCACAGAGAGGTTAAGACCTCTCCTAGGAAGTCTACTAAGTCTGTCTCATCATTTAGTTGAGGCAGGACCAAGGCACCCCCCCCCCCCCATATCTAGGCTGGGCATGGTATCTCTCCATATAGAATGGGCTCCACTAAGTCAGTTTGTACATTAGAGTTAGATCTTGGACCTACTGCCAGTGGCCTCATATATTGTCCCAGTCACACCATTGTCACTTATGTCAAGGGAATCTAGTTCGATCTTATGCAGGTTCCCCATTTGTCAGACCTGAGTATGACAAATTTCTCAGTAGTTTGGGTTAGCTGATTCTGTTCACTTTTCTAACAGCATTCAGATGGTGGATTGTGCTTGGTCTATACTTGGATATGCTCAATTTCTTACTTGCTTCTCTATGTGGCTAAAGGGGTATCTGTTTACTTCTGTCAGGGAACCCCATGCTCTGGCAGGCAGAGAAGACCCTCCTGCTATAGTGCTTTCCCCACAGGACATGGACTTCCTGCCAAAGGAGGGCCACAGGGCTCTGTTTTGGAGCCCATGTAACACATGGTTCTTAGCATGTGTTGTTTGGTTCCCCCAGTCCACAGCAGATGGAGAATGAAGGAAGCTGGTAGCTGTTAAGAGGTGGGAATGAGGATGCTAGCAAAAGAATAGCTGATTTCCAAGGAGATGACAGATACCCAAAGGGTTGAGAGTAAACAGCCAGCATGGTCATGGGAAGAGGGAAATGCACTTGGTACTGTGTAGTTGTTCCCTGAGCCTCTCCAGTACTGTTCTGGCATGGGGGTGAAACATCAGTGAGGAAAGGGGGTCAGAAACTCTCTGCCTCTGCAGAGTTTGCATCCTAATGGGTGGAGAGACATAAGCTCAAAGCATAGGAAGTCAGCATGCTGCTGTGTAAAGCACACGGAAACGTACATTGTTAGACGGTAATGGTGGCATAGGACGTAATGAAGAAAAGGGCTTGCATTTGGAAATAGATGGCAGAGGAGGCCTCAGAGGACACACATGAAAGCAGACACCAAGGGGATGGTGTGAGTCAACTTGAGCAGGGATAGGAAGCCAGCCTCTGGAGGGCCATTGCAGGGCACCAAGAGGAAGGGTGTGTGGCTCCTGACAGGTCATGTAGTAGCACAATGAACTGTGGAGGGTCTCAGAGGCTACAGCAAGGGCATGAGGCCACATGGGGTTTTATATGCCACAAAAAAACATTTGGCCTCTAGGATACATACCTTTAATCCCAGTACTCAGGAGGCAGAGGCAGGCAATTCCCTGTGAGTTTAAGGCCAGCCTGGTCTACAGAGGAAGTTCCAGGACAGCCAGGACTACACAGAGATACCCTGTCTGAAAACCAACCAAACAAACAGACAAATAAAACAGAAAACCATTTGGCTAGGCATGTGGTACACATCTTTCATCCTAACACTTGGGAGGGAGGCAGAGGCAGGTGAATTCTGTGAATTTGAGGCCAGCCTGATCTACATAATGAGTTCCAAGCAAGCCAGGGCTACACAGAGAAACCCTATCTCAACAAAAATCAAAAAGATCCCAAACGTTTGTTCATCCATTCGTTCATTCATTCATTTTGTTTGTGTGTGTGTGTGCTGCACCTGTGTACACCATAGTGCCTGTGTGGATTTCAGAGGAAAATGAAGGAGTCAATCCTTTTTTTCTTACCACTGGGTATTGAACTCAGGTTGTCAGGGTTGGCAACAAACACTTTTACTCATTGAACTGTCTCACCAGTCCCTTAAAACACACACACACACACACACACACACACACACACACACACACACACACGAACGATACTTATTTTACTATATGCATATGATTATTTTTGCCTGCACAGAAGAGAGTGTTAGATCCCTGGATTTTTGGTGGTTGTCAGCTGTCATATGGGTTCTGGGTACTGGATTTGAGTCCTTTGCAAAACAAGTACTCTTAACTAAGTCATCTCTCCAGCCGCCCTTATATACTTTATTTTTTTTTAAATTGAAATATGTTAAAGAATGCATACACGTGGTAGATTTTGTCACTTGAAAGGTTGAGCATCTGCTTCCTGAAATACATGACTGGGCCTCTGTGAGGATGCCGAGCTTCTAATGGGTCTTTTGAAGTTTTGTACTGGACTCTCCATCTGTTAGGAATGTGGCATTGCTTCTAGCAGTGGGGTTTGGATGCCTAGTTTTCTGCCCCTTACCCTTCCCTTGTTCCCTCTGCATTAAATGGCTTTTGGAGTTTACTATGTAGATCAGGCTGACTTTAAACTCCGAGATCTGCCTGCTTCTGCCTCTCAAGTGCTGCAATTAAAGATGCCTGGGGTGGGTGGTGGGCAGCTTTGAGAATACTGGGAATGCCACTTATTTCTTTGACACTGTTTCTTCTGTTAGGAAAATGACAAGAGTTTTAAGTTGAAGTACAGATTGAACATAGAGAGAATGGCATTTGGTGGACAGAAATGAAAGCTTGCCTCTCCTGTTTTGGAGACCTGTGAAAAATACACCTTGAATATTTTGTTCAGTAGCAGAGAAGTTTTGGAGGTACAAGTCTGTGAAGTGAATGGGCTTCCAGACCCTGTTCCTTTCATGTGCTGTGTGGAGCTGCCACGTTTCATGCTGAAACTCCAAGTCTGATTATGTGACTGTAAGTACAGGCCGTGTCTTTCTCATTGCAGGTGCTGGTCAGGTGTCATTCAGATACTTTGAGTCCACAGAGGAAGCCAAGCGTGCCATCGAGGCCCTGCTGTCAGCAGACCCTCGATCTGTGTACCGACGGAAGCTCTGTCAGGACCGCCTTTTTTTCTTCACTGTCGACATAGCACATGTCACATGCTGGTTTGGCGATGGCTTTGCTGAGGTTCTGCGGATTAAACTGGCTTCTGAGCCTGTTGAGATGAGGGACCCTGAGGAGTCGTTGGTGGCTCTGGGGTCTTGAGGAGCCCCACCGTGTTTTTAGACAGCTTAGCTGGATGTACCTGATTTTGTCTTTTTACTGCTTTGGTGGTGCTTTTAAAAATATTTATTTGAAGGAAATGCTTTAGTTTTGGTTTTGGGTTTTTTTTTTTTTTTTTTTTTTTTTTTTTCTTCTTCTTCTTGATACTCTTCTATGTAGCTTTGGCTACATAGAACTGGAACTCCCTTTGTGGACCAGATTGACCACAGACTCACAGAGATCCACCTGCCTCTGCCTCCAATGTGTGCCATCAAGCCTGGTGAAGGAAATGTGTGTTAGTAAACTTCCCTGAGAGCTGTAAGATATAATAGAGTGTTGTTCTTTTATTACAGTTATAGGATAAAGCTGGAGAAGGGAGGCGGTGTCCTGAGTGGGAGTCCCAAGGAAAGGGACCATGTGGGAGAGCATAGCAGGTTCCATAGCAGGTGAGGGTGACGGAGGCGGAGGGAATAACACATCAGGCACAGAGAGAGCCTAAGTGAGAAGTTTATTTAGAAGTTTATTTAAAAGGGGGCATGGGGGGGAGAGACATAGGGTCACCGGGAACAGAACAGAAGAGAGGAGAAAGAGGTGAGGAGAAGAGCAAAGGAGATTGTAAGTGGGCGGGGTCTGTCTTTTAAAGGGGTCCTTTACACCTGAGTGCAGACTAGTACTCATGGAACCCTGGGCTGACCAGAGTACTGCCTGAGTGCATCCTGCCAGGTGACGGGCAGGCCAGCCTAATGCCTGAATCCTTACATAGAGTACTTAACCATGTGCTTTGCTCCAGTGCTGAAGACTCCCAAAGTGCTGCTGTGGGTGACTGCCTGAAAACACTCTACTCTTGGTGCTTGATACAGAAAACATTCTTATTTGTTTATGTGGTTTTTCAAGACAGGGTTTCTCTGTGTAGCTTTAGAGCTTGTCCTGGAACTCACTTTGTAAACCAGGCTGGCCTTGAATTTACAGAGCTCTGCCTGCCTCTGCCTCCCAAGTGCTGGGATCAAAGGCGTGGGCAACCACCGCCCATTGACATAGAACACTAACTGGTTTTCACATAAAGCTGATCCATTCATCATCAGTTCACATTGGCTTTTCCCACTCAGAAGCCTGACCTCTCTATTGTAAATCATACTGAGTTATAATGTCTTGAGTGACTAACAAATAAAACCAAGTAACTATAGAAATCTTTATGGATTAAATTCCTGCATTTGAGGGACTTTGTTACACATACCTGCAAATAAAAACTCTGAGCTGCTTTGAATAACCTGAGTGAGGAAGGAAAACCATCCCCACCTCAAGAAAGTCCTTACTGGTTTGTTTCTGACTCTGTGACTGTAAAGAAGTGGCCATGACTCAGCTTTCGGTGTTAGCATGAGCTGAACAAAACATGGGGCAGAAAAAGGTGCACTCTCATGTGGTCCGGCTGGCCTGGAACTTTGATCCTCTTGCCTCAGTCTCCTGGGTCTGGGAATATTGGGCCTGTACCACCCACCACACCTGGCTCAAGATGCTTTTTGTTCCACAAGTCGTGGTTTGTGGAGGAAGTAGGCATAAATGACTTAGTGTGTTACAGTTTAATAAACTAATTAACACTGTACATTTCTGTGCCATGTAGGAAACGATTATAGGAATGTGTGGCCTGTAGGTGATTTTAATGAGATGGTCTGAGATAACTGAAGATTTATGGTCGGTGTAGTCAAGTTAGATACTTGTCAACTTGACACTCTTTCCTAATCACAGCTACAGATCTCAGAGCTGATTGATCATGGTTTGGAAACAACCTCATGACCTGTGCAAACTTGTTTAGTCATTGTGGCTGATGACATTCCACTCCTGAGCTAGTCTGCTTTTAGCTGTTTGTTGCCTTTGACATTACTTACAAGGACAAGATCTTAAATTCGATTTTTAAAATACAGATTGTAAAAATACAGTTGTAAAAATAGCTCAGAGGTCCCTTCTAGCCTTTACCTGGCTTCTTTTGGTGGAAACATAAAAACTATATTACAGTATTATAGCTAAAATGTTATTGATAGGGCCTATCTTTTAGTCTGATTCTGATGCATTTTCCTGTATTTTTTCATGTGGATGTATATTGTGTTAATATGTGCATGTGTTTGTGTGTAGGTATCTACATAATATATATACATATATATATATGTGTGTGTGTGTGTGTGTGTGTATATATATATATATATATATAGGCGTTGGTGGCTCACGCCTTTAATCCCAGCACTTGGGAGGCAGAAGCAGGTGAATCTCTGTGAGTTTGAGTCCAGCCTGGTCTACAGAGCAAGTTCCAAGACAGGCTTCAAAGCCACAGAGAAACCCTGTCTTGAAAAACAAAAACTATATATATATGAAAAAACCTAGAGCTACACAGAGAAACCCTGCCTCAAAAATCATCCTCCAAACAAGAAGAAACCCCCAAAATAAAGCAAAACAAAACAAAAAACCAAAACTTAGATCTAATGTCTTTACAATTCAGTGAACATCTATAGAGTTAGAATTAGCATTTAAGTGGAAGTTGTGGAAATTCACATTAAGTTTTACATTTTCAGTATTTAATATATTTTGTTTTTTTTGTTTTGTTTTTGTGAGACATCATCTTACTGTCTTGGAACTCACTATATAGGCCAGGCTGGCCTTGAACTCACAGATATTTGCCTGCTTCTTCCTCCTAAGTGCTGGGACTAAAGACCTGTACCTCCATGCCCAGTTTAAATGAGTCCCATATCCCACCTCATCCCACCTCCCAAGGCAGGGTTTCTCTTGTGTAACAGTCCTGGCTGTCCTGGAACTCATTTTGTAGTCTAGGCTAGCCTTGAACTCACAGAGATCCTCTTGCTTCTGCCTCCTAAGTGCTAGGGTTAAAGGTGTGAGGCACCACTATTCTGCTTATACTCTTATCCACCACCAAAACACAAGATCTGTGACAGAATTAGAACTAGAAAAACTATTAGCTTTATATCCTCTTATGTAATTCATGTGCCTTACCTTTTTCAAATTTTATTTTATTATTTTTAGTTATGTATATGTGTGCGTTTGTATGTGGGTATTGCATGTGAGAATAGGTACCCAGGGAGATTGTGCGCTGCTTGGCATGAGTGCTAGGAACTGCACTCTGATCCTCTCTAAGATCAGTAGGTGTTAAATATGTGTAGGAGTGTTTTGCTTTGGTGTGTGTATCTGAACCACACTCATGACTGGCACCCATGGAGGTCAGACCAGGGTGTCAGATCCCGTGGAACTGGAGTTACAGATGATGTGAGTGCCATGTGGGCAATGGGAATCAAGCCTTGGTCCTCTGCAAGAACATACTCTTAACCACTCAGCCTCTCTCCTCAGCCTCTCTTTATCTTTTTAAAGACCTGTTTATTAGTTCTTTGAGAGTTTTGTACATGTTTTGATTATATTCATCCCTCCAACTCTTCCCAAGTCCCCCTGACCTACCCACCCAACCTATGGCTTTTTTTTTTTTTTTTTTTTTTTTTTAAACCCATCAAGACCAGTTTGGTGTGTAACCTTTCATTAGGGCATGGTTGTCTTCTCAAGGGCTGTACTCTTACACAAAACTGTCCCTTCCTCTCCCAGCAGCTAACAGTTGCCAATAGTTCCATGGCTAGGGATGGGATTTGATGCCTCTCATCTCCATGCTGTGATTTGGTGGCTGGAGTTTACACAAGTCTCATGTGTGCTGTCAAACCACTGTGGGTTCATATGTGCAGCTGCTTTGCTGTCTGTTTTCTTGTAGTCATCCCTCATCTCTGGCCTTATGTTCCTTACATCCCCTCTTTTGTAAAGATCCGTGAACCGTGAGGAATGGGTGTGGTACAGATGTTCCTCAGAGCTGAGTTCTGTAATCTCTTGTGCTCTGTTCCCTGATATATAAAGTAGAAAATTGAGAGCACAGCAGATCTGTGGCTATGAACATAAAGGCATACATTTTCCTTTCCCTCACTCTTCCAAAGGAAGAGAATGATCATCAGTGAAGAGGAGGCTGCAGCACAATAGAAAGCAGAGCCTAGAGCCAGCTTCACGATGGGGGGTGGGGGCGGGGAGTGGGGACGCTGTGTCTCATCCTCCTCGTGGTCCTGGGTACTCTACTAGAGAAACTGCTCTCTAGCAAGGAACTATAGAAATGATCCCTCAAAGTGTAGTCTTAAAATGTAAATATTCAGAAGGCAGTTTGACAGCATGACCAATTAGCAAAACAATAGTGCACTTCCAATGGCCTGGGCCCTTCACTAGGCTTGGAGTACCATATTCCACTTTTTTTTTTTTTTTTTTCAAGACAGGGTTTCTCTGTGTAGCTTCTCACAGAGGACCGCCAGTCTCTGCCTCCTGATTAAGGGTGTGTGCCACCACTGCCTGGCTGTGTAATAATTCTTTTCATTCAACTTTGCAATTTATAAAACAAGTTTAAAAATTCTGCCTCATTTGGCATCTCAACAGTATTTTAGATTGTGTGTCTGGGAGCTAGCTATCTTGCAGCCTGTCCACAGACTTCTGTGGCCAACAGTGACCCAAAGCCCACTCTCCTTTTATAATTTGTTTTATTCATGTATATGTGTAGATTCGTATGCGGAGGTCAGAGGACGACTTCTTGGAATCTTGGAATGGGTTCTCCTCCTAAGTGGATAAGGGGATCCTGAGGATTGAACTCAGGCCTGGCAGCAGGAGCCCTTACCCACTGAGCCAGCTCAGTACCCCTTTCCCCAAAGTCTGCTCTTTTTCTGGCTGGTGCTACGATTCGTCTTTACATTGTCAGAGGAAAAATATAATCAAAAACTACTCAATCAACTAAGCAAAAGAAAGTACACATGACACAGGTTGGCTAACAAAGCTGGAAATATTGGTTAACTGGTCCTTTTCAGAAAGACTGGGGCCACTGACCTAGAATGTTGATTCTCTAAAGTGGTGCCTGAGTTCCAAATAAGTTATTTGTAAATGAAATTTTCATGTTATCACATGAATGCTAAGATACATTTTGTGATTGAAAAGGGTTTATTTAACAGAAAATTTGTGGAGTAAAAGGTAAATTGTATCTTATTTTATATTTCCCATCCATGTGTGCAAAATAAGACTGTACAAATCCATGCTTAATTGTGTGAGGTAGTTCTGGAAGGATGGACACACAGTCGTGAGTATTACTTCTTTTCTTGGTGCTGTGGCTAGGCAAGTGCTGTGCTTCTGAGTCACATTTCTAGCCCAATGGTGCCTCTCAGAGGGTTCTCTGGGACTCACTGGGAAAGGCTATATTCTCTACTGTGTCTACTGTGAATTCTTTCTGACCAGAAGCACACGTTCTTTTTATATGTGGAACATAAGGCAAATGTCCCCCATTCCAGTTGGAGTGGATCTGACATGTGTCTACTGACATCTAATTCAGTAGAACACTCCTACCTTGCCCTCTGAAATGGGGTGTTTATGAAAAATGGACATGGCTTTTCCTGCCATGTCACCTGTGAATCACGAAGCTGGAACCTACCCACATCACACCTTATTGTGGAACTTATGTCCCTGAGAACATAAGTTCCCTTATGTTCCTGCTCTCGCAGACCTTCAGACATAGTCCTGTGTCTCTCAGAAGTAGGCATTCCAGTGCATGGTGCTGCTGGCTGAGGTCTGAGCCACCAGCTCTCCTTGGTCCAGAAATAGTCAAAGTGGTCCTTCCCATCTGGACTGAGTGGCACTTGTCGCCATCTACTGGCCCTCTGTGTACTTGCATGGTAGAGCACTCGCCTACAAAAAGACTGCAGAGGTTGCTCTCCAGGTGTCCCCATGGCTGGCTTTTGCCCTCTGTCTGGTTAGGAGCCCTGAGCTTGGTCATTTGAGTCAACAATAAAAACCCACTCTGAAATCCAAGACTGGCTGTGTTTACTGAGTGAGTGTCTATGCTGAGGTGTGTGTGTGGGGGGGGGCAGGAGAAAGGCTAGGCAAGTGTTGTGTTGGCAGGGCAGAACCTGTGTGTGGTATGCGGTAGGATTGTCCACAGACTTGGAGATGGGGGAGTCTGTATCTGAGAGAAATGGTAGAGCCAAGACAGATACAGTCTAGGAACACTAGGGAGACCGGGGAAATTTTCTTCTGGGCTTTTTTTTTTTTTTTTTTTTTTTTTTTTCCTCTCCTAACTTCCTATCATTATTGAAAAATTTATTTTATTGTGTGTGTATGAGTGTTTTGCCTGGATACATGTGAGTGTACCACATGTGTGCAGTGCCCTCTGAGGCCAGAAGGGGGTGTCAGATCCTCTGGAAAGTGGAACTACACAGGTGTCACCATGTGGGTGCCAGGAACTGAGCATGCATCCTCTGCATCCTCTGTAAGAACAGGAAGCTCTTCTAATGATTGAGCCTTCCTGCCTTCCTATTCTTGCCAAGATGCATGCTCTCTGACATTGGAAAATACTTCTGGCACTTGTATGGAGCTGGAGATGACTCAGCCATTAAGAGTACCTGTATGAGGACCAAAGTTGCATCCCAGGATCCAGTAAAAACTAGACATGGTTCCATATGTGCCTGCAACTCCAGCATTGGGGAGCAGAGATGGGAGGATCACTGGGGCTTGCTGATTGCCAGTCTATTGGAAAACAAGAGTTCAGGGTTCAGAGAGAGACACTGCCTCAGAGGAATAGGGTTACTAGATGCCTTCCTCAGGTTTCTGTGCACATATATCACAAAAAAAAAAAAAAGCACTTTTAAGCAATGAGGGGCAGTAAGGGAAAACTAGTGACATCAAGTTAAATTAGGAGAAATGAGGGGAGTCATACAAAAAGTGAGGTGGGAGGAGCTTGTGCATCAGCACTGGCCCTCTGCAGATCAGCCTGCTTGGCAATGACATTTCAAGTCTCTGGGTACATTAGTCCTGTAACTGAGGATGTCAGGGAGGCCATCTCACACCATCCATTACTGAGTTGGCCTAGCTGCCAAGGCACAACTAAACGAAACAAAAATGAAATGAAACAATCAGGAAGAAGAAGGAGAGATGTTTATAGGTTGAGATTTTTGTTTTGTTTTGTTTGTTTTTAGACAAGGTCTCACTATGTAGTTCCAGCAGGTCTTGAACTCACTCTGTAGTCCACTCTGGTCTCAAACTCACAGAGATCCACCTGCCTCTGCCTCCCGAGTGCTGAGAGTCAAGGCAAGTGCTGCCATTGCCCGGCTGATATTTATTGTTTTAAACCACTAAATTTTGAGGTTGTTTGCTATTTAGAAGAAAAGGTTAGGCTGAACATCTAGCACTACCTTCCAGAATGCAGTGGAAGGCTGGAGTTTTACAGGAGTGATTAACAGAAAAAAAAAAAATCCTTAAAATGGTGAATAAGGATGAATTTCTGTGAAGAAGGTTGTGAAAGAACAATAATACAAAATAGATATCATGCCCTTTGGTTCAGCTATGAAGCTAAACAAAATTTTGGTGACTAAGGAACTTTTAATATATGTACAACACAGCGTTTGTTATTCACCAAAACAGGTAAAGTCTTAAACCAGGTCTGGTACACATCTGTAATCTCAGCACTTGGGAGGTGGGGCTGGGAGGTTAGGAGTTCGAGGCTATCTTGGGCTATGTGACCCTGCCCAAAACCAACCAATCAAACAAACAAAAGACCTGCCTGCTGGTAGCACATGGCTTTAATCCCAACAGTTCAGGAGGTAGGTAGATCTCTGAGTTCAAAGCCAGCCTGATTTACAGAGTGAGTACCAGGTCAGCCAGGGCTACACAGAGAAACCCTGTCTCAAATAACAAAAAAACAAAAACAAAAAACAAAACAAAACAAAAAAAAACTCCTGTCTAGGGTTTCTATTGCTGTGAAGAGACACTGTGGCCAGGGCAACTCCTTTTTTTTTTTTTTTTTTTTTTAAAGATTTATTTATTTATTTATTTATTTATTTATTTATTTATTATGTAGCATGCCAGAAAAGGGCACCAGATCGCATTACAGGTGGTTGTGAGCCACCATGTGGTTACTGGGAATTGAACTCAGGACCTCTGGAAGAGCAGCCAGTGCTTTTAGCCTCTGAGCCATCTCTCTAGCCCCCAGGGCAACTCTTATAAAGGAAACATTTCATTAATGTTAGCTTATGGTTTACAGGTTTAGTCCATTATCATCATGGTGAGACATGGCAGCAAATAGGCAGACATGGTGCTGGAGAAGGAGCTGAGACTTCTACATCTTGATCTGCAAGCAACAGGAAGCAACTGTGTCTCTGAGCGTAGCTTGAGCATAGGAGACCTCAAAGCCCACCTCCACAGTGACACAGTTCCTCCAACAGAGCCATACCTCCTCATAGTGCCATTCCCTATGGGGGTCATTTTCTTTCAAACCAACATAGATGCTAAGCACAAAAATGCGTCATGTATTTTACTCTTGTGGAAGCTAAAAAGATGACTGCACAAAAATGGAGGTTGGTGGATAGTAGGAAGGGCATGGAGCAGGTGGAGAGAAAGGGTTTGATGGAGGATATCAACAGGAGAGGATCCTTTTTAAAAGTAGAGTACCATGGAATCAGCTCCTACTACAATGAAATGCCCCTCCCACCCAGGCCTTCCACTTAAGCCCTGACTTGAATATAACTGGAAAATGGGGTTGCAGTGGGGGGGGGGGTACAGGGGTAGGAGAGTGTCACCAGGTTCTTGGGGGAAGTGTTAGCCGGGCAAGGTGGTGTACAACTCTACCCCTATCCCTGGCGAAGCTGAGGCACAAAGATCTTAAGTTTCAGGTCAGCTTGGGTTATTTAAGGAGACCCTCTTTTAAAGAAAAAACCAAAACCTGTTAAATGGTGATATTGTCAGAGACACTGAACACTGGGACAAAAATTATGATAAGACTATGTTAAGGAGGCAAAGAACATGGCGTAAGCCAAATTCTCATTGTTCACATAAAGGGGTCAGTGTAGAACACCCAAGTAAGTAATGAAAATGGTGGGCACCATCCTACTTGAAAGTAAATCTCTAAGAAGATGGGTGAAGTTCTTGAAGATAATACCTCAAGTTGCCCCCACGGGGCTGGAGAGATGGCTCAGTGGTTAAGAGCAGCTGCCCTTCCAAGGGAACTGGGTTCGACTCCCTGCACCTACATGGTGGGTCACAGCTGTCTGTAACTGCAGTTGCAGGGGAACTGATACCTCTTCTGGCCTTCTGGGGCACTGCAGTCATGTGGT